GAGATCTGTGTCTATTCACCATCGGAAACTCCACAAGACCGATTCAAAATCACTGAATCACTCTCGTATGAGACTCTACGACGATCTTCTTCTTAACGGGTAAGTAAACCCACCTTCGTTTCGATCCGGATTTACAGATTTTCCGATCTGGGTCGTGTTAGGAGGAATGAAATTTCATCGATTTTGTAGGTATTATACGACGCGGCTTTGGATTGGTACTCCTCCCCAAATGTTTGCTCTTATAGTGGATTCTGGGAGTACTGTTACTTATGTCCCTTGTTCTGACTGTGAACAATGTGGCAAACACCAGGTAATGCTCGAGTTTCCGAATCGTGTTTGAAGAACGAAATGTTCTTGTTTTGTGTGTTTACTTTCTTATTGTTATTGATCAGGACCCAAAATTTGAGCCAGAATTGTCAAGCACCTATCAGCCTGTGAAGTGTAACATGGACTGTGATTGTGACGATAATAAAGAACAATGTGTTTACGAGAGAGAGTATGCAGAACACAGCAGTAGTAAAGGTGTGCTTGGAGAAGATCTTATATCGTTTGGCAATGAAAGCCAGTTGACACCTCAACGAGCTGTTTTCGGTTGTGAAACTGTGGAAACCGGTGATCTTTACAGTCAACGTGCTGATGGTATTATCGGATTAGGCCAGGGGGATCTCAGTCTTGTGGATCAGTTAGTAGATAGAGGTTTGATTAGTAACTCTTTTGGTTTGTGTTATGGAGGGATGGATGTCGGTGGAGGTTCAATGGTTCTTGGGGGTTTCAGTTACCCATCTGATATGATTTTCACTGACTCGGACCTGGATCGTAGGTATGTTCCAAGGACTGCTTTGTCTGATTGGTGAATGGATCTTGTATAATCCTAACAGATACGTTTAATACCTTTCACACATTTACTCTAGTTTCGGGATGGCGACAGTCCATATTACAATATAGATTTGACGGGGATACGTGTTGCTGGGAAGCAGTTGTCGCTGAACTCAAGAGTATTTGACGGAGAACATGGCGCTGTTTTAGACAGTGGTACAACATATGCTTATCTCCCAGACGCAGCGTTTGCAGCATTTGAGGAAGCTGTAAGATGTTTATATATTTTACCTCGTAAACTGTTCTGAGAATTGTCAATGTCTGGTTCAGTTGCCAGTTTTCTTGAGGATTGTAGATATTCATTGTTTTCCTCTACCCTGTTTATGTGTGCCTTTTCTTACGTTGGCTGTATTGTAGGTATTGAGAGAAGCTTCCCCATTGAAGCAGATTGATGGCCCTGATCCTAATTTTAAAGATACTTGCTTCCATGTCACTACAAGGTATTGTGTCTTGCAAGCTTGTGATCCTTTTCATACCTATCAATCAAGGGAAGTTACTGACAAATAGATTGTGTTATGCTCAAGTGATGATGCCTCTGAACTTACAAAGATATTCCCATCAGTCGAGATGCTGTTCAAGAGTGGGCAATCATGGCTGTTGTCCCCTGAAAACTACTTGTTTCGAGTAAGTAATTTTTTCCGTTTTTCTCTCTAGTCTATTTGTGTCTGGTGTTGGTTTCTGATGTGGTTGGTTACTTTTTGTTCAACAAAAGCATTCCAAGGTGCACGGAGCATACTGTCTCGGTGTTTTCCCAAATGGAAAAGATCACACAACTCTTTTAGGAGGTAAATGGATATCTGTTTTTTCCCATTTCTGGCTACGTTCATATGTTTTAGTATTTTTACTCTACTTGCCAATTGGTTTACTGGTAATTAATATCAGGCATTGTGGTTCGCAATACACTTGTTGTGTATGATCGTAAGAATTCTAAGGTTGGATTCTGGAGAACCAATTGTTCAGAGTTATCGGATAGGCTTGATATTGATGGTGCACCTCCACCTGCCACTTTACCTTCAAATATTTCAAATCCATCCCTCAATACATCGAGCAATCTCCCAGGTTAGCAACATCTAGAGAATTTAATCTAAACTCTTCTTTCCAAGAAAATACAACTAAAGAATAACATATCCTGATGTTTTGCGCGTGGTACATATTTCCTCAGGCGAGATTCAAATTGGTAAAATAAACCTTAACATTCAACTAACAGTCAATTCGTCCTATCTGAAACCTCGCATTGAAGAGCTCCCCAAGATATTCTCCAAGGAGCTCGATGTCAAATCTTCACAGGTGAGCAAAAAATGATAAACACTTAGTAAGCCTTAAACACTGTTTTTTTTTGTTGCTAATATTGAGCATGACAATTGTGAAAAATGTCCTTCCTCACAGGTCTCTTTATCGAATCTCACCTCCAAAGGAAACAACTCCCTCATCAGAATGGCTGTTGTCCCTCCTGAACCTTCTAGTTCGTTTTCAAATGTTACAGCAATGGTATGATCATACACGAAAAAACTTCTCCTTACATTGATCGATTTTATCCTCATACTTACCTTTCCTTTGTGCTTCTCGTAGAGTATAGTTTCTCGGTTTACCAATCATCAAATCCAGCTTCCCGACATTTTCGGAAACTACCAGCTCGTTAATTACAAACTCGAGCCTTCAAGTAAACGGTACACCATTCATTCTTAACCGTAATCATAGACTATCACTCCCTTTGTCTCCAAAACAAAAGTCTTTTTTTCCTTTCGTTTTAGGAGGACAAGGTGGCAGATGAAAAACATTGCGGTTGTGACAGCGGTTGGGATCATCAGTGTATTCGTCGGGTTATTAGCTTACGGAGTTTGGTTGATATGG